AGTGGGAGTGGGGAGATGGGGTGAAGAGAGAAGGGAGGAGAGCTGCATGTGTGTGTGTCCCCAGAGTGTGGGGGGGCACTGACTGCCTTGGAGGGACACTTCTCCACCCCGAGCCATCCCCAGCCATACCCACACCAGCAGGTGAGAGGTGGGATGGAGGGAGGGTGAAGGGCAGACAGGGAGGAAAGCCACCCCCTCTCCTGCCCTGGGGTGAGCAGGGGGTGTCTCTGCCCATCCTCACGGGTGTGCTGGCTGCCCCTGCCCTGCAGCTGTGCCTCTGGCAGATCTCAGTGCCCGTGGGCCACGTCATCGACCTGCACTTCCACAACTTCAGCCTGGAGCCCCACGAGGACTGCAGCTTTGACTTCGTGGAGGTGCACGACAGCGCAGGCACGGGGGCTGCCAGCCTGATGGGCAGGTAGGACCACCAGCCCTGGCACCTCTCCCACCCTGCTGCACCAGCCCTGGCTGCACCCATCCTGCATCCTGGCTGCTCAGCTGGGAAGCTGAGGCACAGGGTGGGCCGGTGGGTGAGGAGGAGCCACCACAGCCCTGCAGCCCACCCTGACCCCATCCCTCCCCCTGTGACTTGGCAGGTTCTGTGGCCACCAGCTGCCACCCACCCTCACCTCCTCACGCCACGTCATGACCATCCTCTTCGTGGCAGACGAGGGAGTAGCAGACGACGGGTTCTTTGCCACCTACCAAGCCCGAAATGCCACAGAGAGTAGGTAGCCAGGCAGGGGGACAAGCTGCCCAGAGAGGCTTTGCAGTCACCATCCTTCTGGAAGTTTTGGTGGCAGACTGGATAAAACCCTGGTTAAAAAAAAAAATGTCCTCACACCATAGCTGACCCTGCCTGGAACAGGATGTTGGACTAGAGGTCCATGGGGTCCCTTCTGGCCTGAATTACCCTTGAATCTTACTCATCCTAGACATGGGGATGTGCCCTGGAAGGGCTCACCTGCACACAGGCATGATCCATCACCCAAAAGACCCAGAGAATTTGGGATCCCCCTAGGCTGGGCCAGTGAGAGTCACCTTTTGTCCCTGGCTGCTGGGTGGCATCGCTCTGCAGCCACTCACCTGGGTGTCCCCTGGCCAGTGACCAGGAGGAGCAGAGACAGGGGTGGTCAGCACGGGCACAGACTGACTCCCAGCAGGGATGGCAGCTGCCACCAGCACAACCCAGGCCATCCTGCTCCCTGCCCACATCCCAGCTGGTGTCCTGCAGCACTGGCCCCTCTCCTCTTCCAGAGACCTGCAGCCCCACGGAGTTCTCCTGTGGAAATGGTGAGTGCCAGGCACTGGAGTCTGTGTGTGACGGGTGGCACGACTGCCCTGATGGCACCGATGAGCTGAACTGCACTGGGGTCTCCTACCCATCCTTTGGTGAGTGCCACCCCAGCCCTCCTGACCCAGGAGACACACCCAGGAGCTGCCCCACCTCTCCCACCTGCCAGAGGCATTCCCGGTGGGCACCACTGCTGCTATAAGAAGTGAAGCACCTGGCTCTGTGGCAGGGTCTGTCTGTGAGCCTGTGGAAGTGGAGATGTGCCTGGGGCTGGGCTATAACACCACCTCCTTCCCCAACATCTGGCTGGCCATCCCAGACCAGGAGGGAGCAGCCGAGGTGCTGCAGGACTACCAGGTGAGCTGCCCTCGGGGCTGCCCTCCCCAAACCCACCCTGTGCCCTGCTCACTGCCACTCTCCTGCAGACACTGATGGAGCTTGCCTGCTACCAGCACCTTCGCCTGCTCATCTGCAGCCTCTTTGTGCCCAAGTGCATCCCTGATGGGGGTGTCCTGCAGCCCTGCAGGGCTGTGTGCCTGGCTGCAGAGCTGCGGTGCCAACAGTCCTTTGGCCTCCTTGGCATCCTCTGGCCCATCAACTGCAACATCCTGCCGGACTCCACTGACCCCATAGAATGCTTCCAGCCCTGACCTGGCAAGAGAAGAGGAGCAGAGGGATGAAGCAGCCTGCCCAGAGCTGCTCCCTCACCCCAAATGTCCCTCCCACTCTCCCTCTCCCACGGTTGCTGTGGTGGCTCCCATCAGTAGAACCTCCTTGCCCAGCTCTTTGCCTGCCTGGGCTCAGCTCCTCTGCTCAGCACCCAGCTCAGGGCCCTTGTGCTTGCCCAGAGGGACAAGTCCTTAGAGAGCAGGGGTCCTTCCCAGCCTTGCCACAGGGAAAGGCTTGTGCTGGAGGGGCTGTGCCCGCAGGTTGGAGCTGTGCTGGGGACACCACGCTAAGTCCTCCTGCCAAGCAGCAGGATGGTGGCAAGAGGGTTGGATGTTACCTCCCCATCCTCAGCCAACCCCAGGCATGTTGGCCAGAGCTGTGCATGGTTCCCAGCCCACTTCCCTCTTTCAGTCTCTCCAGGCTGTGTGTGGACTCTTTCTGGCAGCCCTCAGCCAGCTGCCAGCCTAGCAGGGCTGCAGGGCTAATGCTCCCCAAATGGAGCAAGGCTGGGCCAAGGTGAGCCAGGCTGCAGGCAGAAAGGCCCAGGTCCCACAGCCCCAGAGCCAGCAGAATAAACAGCATCAGCAGCTGACAAACCCAGTGGAGCTGGTGGCTCATTTGAGGAAGGTCTGTGCAGGGGTCCTGCCAGATCCCAGGGGAAACTGAGGCACGGGCCTAGGGAGGGAGGACAGGGTTGGGATGGGGGCTCCAAGCAGGAACGGAGGGGCACAGGGGAGCCTGCCTGGCTGCAGGAGAGAACAGGCTGGTGGCTGTGCCCTATGTGGGCTGGGGGGCTTGCAGGGCCCCAGGGAGATGGATGGGTCTCAGGGGGGTGAGGCTGGCAGCCACATGGTGCGGGGAGATCCTGCCCCAGCAAGGACTGTGGCCCTGCTGGCTGAGCTGGCTGTGCTGGCTTCAGGCCACCCTGATGGCCACAAGCCTGGCAACACCCCGTGACCACAAACCAGCTCCTGGGCCAGCCAAGAACAACAGCCCCTTCACACCTTGGGAGAGAGGAGCCAGGAAGGCTCCCTGCCAGCCCCCAGCCTTGCCCTGCAGCAGCCAGGGCAGGAAGAGCTCAGTGTCACCCACACTGCTCTGGGCACCAGCAAAGGGAGGAGAAAACCAGCTGTGCCAGCACGGTTCCCACTGCCCACACCCACCCTGGGTGCATGGGGATGTCCCTACTCAGGGTGCCTGGGAGCAGGATCCCCTCGGGCCAGCAGGGCTCTTGCCCTGGCAGCCAGCACAGCACCCCTGCTCCCTCACATCCCCTCCTGCCACATCTCGGGGCTCAA